TTTCTTGATTGCCCAAATCACCGAGAAAGTCGTATTATTTTCCCATTTTTATAGTTGAATAATCTCACTTTTTCGAAAAATTCAGTTGAATTACGATCGGCATTTAATATAAAACTTTCGTTTGACCTTTCCAAATGAACTTTTCTATTTCTGATAAACTGAATGATGGCCGTGCACAATTGAGAATGATGTTCGAATTTCGTGAAATGTAGGATATAATTAGGATAACGCTGTAAGAATGTCTGCTCAAATCAACTAAACCATGAAATTTGTAAGACCCCGTTCACACTAGCATTTTTTTTAATCGATCTAAATAAAACCAGTTAGCGTTCACATTATCTTTAATCATAATGATCTCTATCGGTCTAATCTGAACCACTGCGTTCACACTACAAGTAAAAATGCAATCGATCTGACCTAACTACCCGTAAAACTGTAAACATTGTGTATAAATAGAAATAATTAATCAAATGTATGTGTTGATACACTGAAACGCACACTTGAAACAAAAAGTGGATGAAGTTATTGTTTCTCTTGAATCACAAGTTCAAATTTTTATATTGTTGTTCTTGCAGTTTTTATTAATTTTGAAACAAAAAACTGTAGCAAGAAAGTTACAACATGAAGAAATGTTGCGGTTACTGAAAAGAAAAAAAATCAACAGAAAAAAAGAAGACAGATTTCGCAAATTTATGCTACGGCGAAGACAACTTTTTTCCGTTTTTTTTTTTACTTGCATGTACACAAAGGTCTGTTTACAGAGACGTATGGGTTAAACAACGAATCACCGATATATACAGGGATGTTATGTTATTACACGTGTAGTTTTGCCGCTATACTGTGCATAAATTATTTTCGATTCAATCGTACTAGTTTAAACCGATCTTTGCGTTCACATTTAAAGTTAGATCGGTTCACATCAGATCGATTCAAACTAAACTACCTCTTTTGGTGTTTAAGTTTAGACCGATTAAATATCGATTCAAAGCGTCCACATTGGCCCTTAAATCGATCTAAAGTGAACCGATCTAGTTTAAATCGATCTAAATGTCCCAGTGTGAACGGGGTCTTACTGTGTTAAGAGGACAAAACCACTTACGATATGAAGAAGACGCGGGAACATACAAAACTCAAACGTACAACGTCATGGCAAAAACGAAAAAAAACGACAAAAAGACTACATAGAAATCTAAAGATTGAACAACACGATCCCAACCAAAAACCAGGGTTGAATTAAAATGAATTTAAACTCGGAATTTATCTTCGATTCTGCATTGAAGTTATTAAATGTGGATGGTCCAAGCAAGAAATGCAGACGAATCCTCCTTTTTTTCGTGTGCACTCGTGTATACAAACGGAACGGTAATATAACTCTGCGAACTTCTAAACTGTTATAATGCAGCTACAGCTAGGGTATTTCTTATTTTTTTATGTATATTTTTTTTATTTTGATTGAAAATTATTCTTCCTATCTGCAAAACTCTTGTCAATAAAATAAACTGCTGTTTGTAGAATTTATTAAATACTGATCTGGTATTTTGATGTCACTGAACAGGTATATAAAATATATATATTAATGCCTAAGAATGTAACTTTAACACGCTAATGAGTGTTATAAAAATAGTTGTTACATATTATATATTCACGCAATATTTCGCTAAACAAATTAGCTTCATCAGGCGCGTGCAGTCATCCAGGTAAAAACGGATGATGTTAAGAAATTTTTGCAGCTTATCGTACATGGATAATTTATTTTATTAAAGTGTCACCATCCACTACAGTATCTATTTATATATACATAAAGTCATAAGAACCTAACATTTAGTGACAGGATGCCAGCCGAAAACGACTTATGAAACACTATTTTATTCATACATTATTGTTAAATCTAAACAAATAATTGTGTTACTTAAATAGTATGAAGTTCAAGATTTACTCCTTTCATATTAACAACATCCGTTTTTTACCTGGATATATATGAAATTCTATATACTTTTGCTAAAGGTTAAACAAATCTACATCTGAATTTATAATATATGAGAATTGGGCAGATATCAATTGAAAATCAATATTAAACTCCGTATAATTAATTACTGGACAAAGTTGTTATCTGGAAAACAAAAAAAAAAAGATCTTGCGTAATTTCATATAAGTACTGATTATATAAAAAAGAAATGATATAACTAGGTTTCCTATATCTATTATAAACGTAAAATCCATACTTGATAATTGCGGTTTGTCATTTGTGTGGGATGCCATGTGGTACATGGCAATAGACTATACGGTCTAACAAAATTTAGTTAACCAGTTTAAACAGACATGGCACACTAATGTACACAAATTTAGACGACAAAATTTTTTTCACTAAGTTCTCTTTTACAGAAGAATCCCTCCTTTTTGTTCGTGTATACAAACGGAGCGGTATTATGACTATGTAATCCGCGAACTACTAAACGATTAATGCATGAAGTTGCAGGCTCTGGTATTTTTTATTTTAGCAGTTTTTTTTTATTTTGATTGAAAACCATCCTCCCTGTTTAGAACTGGAAATTATACATTGCCTATTGAGTTTGAGAGATGGCAAAATATTGCAAGAGAATAAAGAAAATGTCTACTTTGTAACTCTGGAGACATCGGAGATGAATTTCTTTATGTATTTACATGTTCTGTATTAAAATGATGACCGCTAACATTTATTTTTATTTAGGCTTATATGTTCTTATTCTCTGGCTAGTGGTCGTGGCACTAACTAGGGAAGCTTCTAGCCATATACTTACCTAAAAAATGCAACACTTCCACTGAAATTAATGGGGGCAAACTTTGAGGGCTCATATCTTTGTAGAAATTGCTCAAAATGATCTGAAATTAACAACATTCCTGTTTTGAAAGGATGTTGAATTAACTAAAGAAGAAAACTAAAAAAGCTACGATAAAATTTGAGGGGTATAAAAAGTGCATCTCCTTTTTTTAATATCTTTTTTTGAATGGGAAATGTTAGTTTCTGTTCATATGTAATCAATTGTGCCATCAGATTAACTACTTCGTCAATTTTGTGAGTTGCATGCATTATGTAACTTGACTACGTTGCAAAAAAATGATAAAATTTTTACCACTTCTCTCAAAGTTTGCGAACTATGTAGCTGTCTGAAATATGACCAAATGATTGAAGATTAAGAAAACCAAAACTTTAAAGATACTTGTAAATTTAGAATTTGGTATACGTTATTTTCAGTCAGAATTTGTGTTGCTAAACTTTTTTTGAGTAGTACATTACTGCTCATCTGATACCTTTTACATAGAAATCAGACTTAACTATCGTCTTTGGTGTAGATTATACCTTTTTGTAATAAAGAGAATAACAAAATTAACCACAGTCGAAGAGTAGATATGCAGAAATGAAATTTGCAAAATACAATTAATTTGGACAAAACCTGGAAAATCAACCACTGAACTACTAGAACAAGATATATTCTTGTCTTGGAACTGGCATTTTCCTGAGTAGATGGTGTAACTAATTATGCTTTTGTCGGCCGTACTTTGACCTATAATGCTTTACCTTTAATCTGTATTTAACAGCAGGCATGTTGATCGCTAATATCGGCGCAATTCTAAAATGCACATTCACATAGTCTTGGTGTCATACTACCGTTCGATTTGGTGCAGATGTCCATGTAACCATTTGGGTGTTAACTAATTTTAATACCTAAGATTCTCAAATCTTAGATTTTATCTTTCCCTATTATTATAGGACTACTTTGTTTTTTTTTACAAAATCCGGGTTCAAGAAGGCGAAAAATTAGTCAGAATATGACTTTGTTACTGATAAACTGCAAGATGTTGCAAAACATATATTTGACCTTCAAATATTTAGTAATGCTAATATTCTTTATACACGAACAAATGCTAAGTCAGTTATATTAACTGAAATTGAAATTTTAATCTTGATGCAATCTACAATGTCTGAACACTGGCATTTTCCGTGAGAAAATGTTGTTACTAAACATACTAATGTTTGCCAAACCTCAGTTTTTGACAATTAATTATAGTTTTATGGTTCTCTATCACTCCGAAACTTCGAATATACAATATAACAATCGACAATGTCCGAACACAGAAAAAAACATACATCTTGCGAAGATTTCTAATCACTTTACCTTGTAGTAGATTCAGAACGGATTTATAGTTTTTTTTTGCACTCAATCTATATCTGTTTAGTTACTTGAACCTTAATACATGTTGCTTAGCTTAGGGAGCTTAGATCTACTTAACACTTTAAATATTGAATTGATTGCAATTGACAGCATTGTGAAAATTTACGGACAAAACCTTACTCAATAATTTGATCTGAATCTATAGGTTTTACGTAAATATGACTTTGATTCAAAATTTTCTTAAAAGAGATTGGTAGGATAACCAATGGATGAGTTTTGTTAAATCATTTTCAGAAAGTTCACTAGATCATAATCATGTAATTTAAAAATAAGATTTGATGTGATTGCCAATGAGACAACTATCCTTAAATACAAAGGACAATGATGTTAACAATTACTAAAGGCCTTTAACAATGAACAAAACCCATACCATGATTCTTTATGACTTCAATCATTTTTAATACAGTATATTTGTAATGGATTGTAATATATCGTATGAATCACACCTTCCTTCAAGATCACGAAAAAAATACATATTGGGAAGGTTCCATAAAGTGGTCGACAAGGACAAAGGAAAAAGGACAGGGGAGGGATTCAGCCTTGCAATAGGTCAAATAGGGGAATTTCAAAGTTTTATTTGAAGGGTTTTCTTCGTTGCACATAGCACTGCAATCTCCTGACACGAAGCATTGTATTTAGCGTCCCCAATTCGACCAAACATATTTAAACATCCCGCCTTACAATATAGAAAGAATTAAGAAATCATAAAAGGTCATTCCTTGCATTACTTCTAGTGAAGTAGTTTCCCTGTCCGTCGGTGGACAGTTGTCTATTTAGCAATACTACAACTATTTTTTATGTTTGTATTCACAAAAAAACTACTTTTGTCTCGATTTCGCAAGCTGTCAGATATTAACATAAAAGTGGACAACACATGCCAAAGCTAACACTGGCCCAATGGATCAAGAGGACGTCTTAGTTGATAAAATATCTAGATATAGTGTATATGTCTATAGGACCGCCTCTCATAAATTACTGTATACTAGTAATTGATTCGTCGAAAAGTTTACTATGACGGAAAATGTACATGGCTGTCGTACAACATAAAATCTCCATTAGTTCTCTTAAACAGTTGCCTCCTTAACCTCTTTGTCTTCATATTCCATGTCTTCAATGCCTGGCTGCTTTTTACAACATTTATAAATCCTGTCACGAAATATATGAAGACCAAAAAATGTCATATGAACAATTGGAACTGCAACACATATTACTGCTAAGACGGTGTACATAGCACGGACAGGTTGATTCCAATCCAGAATCGAGTATATAGCAGGATTATTTCCTCCAAGTTGATATATAACTGAAAACACTATATAAATACCCATGTAAATTTCGGGATATATAAAATGCAATACGCGTACTGGTTTAGAACAGATGAAAAAACTAAGCAGTACATATACTGAGTTGATGACATGATATTCCAAGGCTAGAGGCGTGCCAACTGTAAAATAAAACAAGGTAAATGTAGCATATGATCGAAAATGATAAACGCAAGTTATTAGACTGTCAATGATATTAAAGGTAATTTACAAATACAAACACAATATCAATATGCTCTTCGTACAAATATAAAAATATACCTTTCTGATATAACGCTCTTTTTTCTCTCTCTCGCAAAGTCATGTTAATCTTATAAATCTTACGTTGAATATCCAAATGGACATATTATTTTGGGATTTGTACGCAATGAAATTCAATTAAATCTTCAGTATGTCTATATACTTGTACACTTTTACTCGTGAAACACTTGTTTTTTATAACGTTTTTGTTATATGATAACAATATGGCTGACAATCGAATGATTTGAAGATCCGCTTCGAACGCCAAAAAAAGTGTTGAATTTTTCTTTTAGAATCGAAATAATTTATAGCGGTCAATGCTTATTTAAGATTTTTACATCATTTTTCAAAATTGAACATCAAAAGGGTTGACTGGGGTGTAGAAATATGGAACCCCTTTCTCCCTTCCGATAGTAAAACCTTTTCTCAAAAGGAGGGGGATAAATATTCATCCACGTCTGTTTAGAATGAGTACGTAACACACTCTGCTTCGTGTAGGGAGAGTATTAAGTTCTCTGCACGTTATAGAACCATTGAAACAACTCTTTGATGTGACTAGTTGCAAGGCAAAATTTCTGCGCCTATTTAAAATGTACTCATTTTCTAGTTGCAGTTCAAACTTGTCGACTTAACTTTTTTGTTCTTAGCCTAGATACGCTTAAAATATTTGCAACTGGACATTACACAAGCATCATTCAATCAAAAATGTAAGCCCTCGCTTAAGATCGAGATAAAATCAAAAGCAAAGAAAGCAACTCGTGTTAAACCATCCAATGAACCATGGCCACAATTAACTATTTCTTTAATAAACTGCTGACACCGAGATATGTCTCGCCTTTTTGTAATTTTGATAATGTTTTGCAAATGGCAATATTTAAAAACGTAAATTATGCCCAAAAATTCAAAGAACCATTAGTTAATTTTGCAGGACCAAATAACCATAGAAATGAGGAATGCCTATGCTTTTAAAACTGCATACCAAATACCATTGACTTGTCTTAAGTGGTTCACTTAACATTAAAATAAACACAAACTGTAATTTGTAAACAATGTAAAAGTTTAAGTCAATGATCCATGATGAGAGAGTGGAGCCACCTACTCTCAATGGTAAAGAAACTTGCAAATTCTTATACAAGTGCTTACCAAATATCATTGACTTGTCATTAGTGGTTTATCTTAAACTGAACTTATCATAAACTTTAACATGTAAACTATGCAAAACATTCATGTCAATAGACCACAACTGAGGGGGTGAGCCAAACAATCTCCATGGAAATGAGATGTGCCAATGATAATGCATATACATACCAAATATCATTGACCTAACACTAGTGGTTCTCTTTAAATGACCTCATCAACAACTAATACATGTAAAGTAAGCAAAAGTTTCAAAGTTAATAGACCATGGCTGATGGACGGGGCTAAATAATCTCTATGGAAATGAGATGTGCCAATGCTAATACAACTGCATACCAAATATCATTGACCTACCATTAGTGGTTCCCCATAAACTGACCTAATCACAAACTTATACATTGTTACCGCCGACGCCGGAAACAACATACCCTAGTCTCGCTTTTTTACTCCGCCAAGGCGAGACAAAAATCAGCGTTCCAGTGTCTCCCCCCGCTGTAGATATCATATAAGAAGTCAAATAGTGAGAGAAGTCCATGCATGACTGAAGAAAGTAAGCACATTTCGTGCTCTAGTTTAAAAAAAATATGTTGATTTTAATCAAATTAGTTCCCGTGAAAAAATAGCCATTTGTTCAATGTAGCCTTATTCATATTGGAAGCACTCAATTTGAATTGATGCCGTTTTGTTTCTGTATCTTTAAAGATCAATGAAGTTAATAAACAAAGAAATGACGAATGGAAATTCAATTTCCTATTGACACCAAACAGGTAACGTACAAAAATATAAATAGCTTAACTTTTACTTTCCAACCATTGTATACTCGAATACCATTCATGGTGATTTGGTAAAAATTTGTCGAAATTAACGTAGACATGAAATCGATAACAAATTTGACTGAGATCCTACCATAAACGTTTCCTTTCAATCCGACAAGAAATATATGCGTGAGATCGCTTACAAGACAATTTTCCACTTGAATTATAATTTAAGGATCATTACTCCCGCTTATAAGAGGAGTTATGATAAGAAGCATAATTTGACAAGTGGAATTGTAAACATAGTGAAATTCTTCAATCCATTCAAAATTTTGTTAGTTCTGTTGATGAACAAATAAAATGAGATCTAGCAATTTCAGTTAAAAAATGTCGGCTTTAATGGTATTAAGACATACAATGATCTAAAATCAATGTTGAAAAATTTGCATATTTTATCTAAAAATGGACATTTTATGTATAGATTGTAGTAAAGTCGGTCTTTGTTTAAAATAACAAACAAAACAAAATATGCCATCATCATCAACAGGCCATTCACTATAGGACAAAACAATAAGATAACCAAAAGACTCATTACCGGTGTAATAGTAAAAAAATAAAAGCAAACAAAACATACGACCAAATAAACAACATTTATTGAAGACAGAATAAAACAATCTTGACCTGCTGGTATAGAAAGCTTATACATACTTTTATAATAAATCCCTATATTTGTGATAAAACGTAGTTTTCACCAAAAAAAGCTTTTCGTATATCTATTGTATACATGTTTTTGCAATGTAAATTGTACGTTCATGTAAGTTTAAGACGTCTTTTCAAGTGCGAATCGAACCAACGGATTTTGGCATATTGAGAAATAAAAACATCACTCTATTACAAGCAGGTGTAGGTTTCGTCCCCGAGAGTATCACTAGCCCAGTAGCCAGAGAGCTTCTGTGTTGACATGAATGGCCATAGTTATTGATTAAATGTTTACAAAACTTTGAATTTTTCAAAATACTTAGGATTTTTCTACCTCAGGAATACATTACCATAGCTGTATTTCACAAAAACCTCCGAAATTTTGGATCCTCAATGCTCTTCAACTTCGTACTCTATTTGGCCTTTTTACAGAGGATTTTATACCCACAGAATAGATTACCTTAGCTGTATCTGGCAAAACCTTTCGGAATGTTGGGTCCTCAATGCTCTTCAACTTCATTCTTTATTTGGCTTTTTAAACTGTTTTGATTCGATCGTTACTGATGAGTCTTTTGAAAACGAAACTGGCGTATGGCGCACACAATTTTAATCCTACCCTTCTAGTAGTATCTAAGATGAGTATATATACAACCACTCGGTCGATGCCACTGCTGGTGGAGGTTTCCTCCCCGAGGGCAACACCAGTCGAGAAGTCAGCACTACTGTGTTGACATGAATGATCATTGATATGGTCATAATTATAAATTAACTGTTTACAAAACTTTGATTTTTCAAAATACTTCGGATTTTCTACCCCATGCAAACATTACCTTTGGTGCATTTGGCAAAACCTTTTGGGTCCTCAAAGCTCTTCAACTTCGTACTTTATTTGGCCTTTTGAACTTTTTTGATTCGAGCGTCAATGATGAGTTTTTTGTACAAACGCGCATCTGGCTCTTGGTCTGTTTCTGTTATCTATGATGAGTTTATTAAGTATACTGTATTTTTTTCTTTGAAATTTGATAACCCAATTTAAGTCAAATGCGCAAAATTACCAATGCGTGGTTTTATTTTTATAGATTTTATTCAAAAGAATCAAGAATTTATTTTAAATAAGTTGCTTTCTTATTTTCATTAAGTTCGGCAATGTGTACTATATTACCTGGCTTTAGAAAGCTGTAAAACCCTATTGTTATAATCACTGCAATGGTGTTACTTATTTCAAAGAATAACCAGTTCAGTTGAGAGTACCATGGCATCGCAACAGCTTCATCTATAAAAAAGGGAAGTCGTTTATAGGTAAAGTAAATACTCCCTTGACAAATGTATTATGGCCTTTGTAATAGCTCATTTGGACTGCAGGGCCATGTGAGCTTTTGCGATCACTTGGCGTCCTTCGATGTTAACCTTTTGAAAATCTTCTCTACTGGACCAAATGTAACCATACTTTTTCCGGGGCTTCGATTCTTCAACAAAATGGCTGCTGTTGCAAAAAATAGAGTATCGAAGGAAAATGCAGATCTCGGCTTATATCTAAAAAACTAAAGCAGTTAGAGCAAAATTGACATCGATAAAAATAATTAACAGGTCAAGGTCTAATCCTTAGAAATTTTCAACCTGTTTTGGCTTTATTGCCCCTGAAATGTCAAATTTTAGAAATTTCACAGTTTTGGCGTTTACCTAAAAACTAGAACAATTAAGAGTAAACTATTATCAACAGGCCAAGGTCTATCTCTTTTTTTTGTCTAAATCAGACAATCCACGTTGGAATTCTAGCCCCTGAAATGTTAATTTCTAGCAAATTTCGAAGTTTTTGGTTGCTATCTTGAAAACTAAAATATATGCAGAGAAATTTTAAATAGTGAAAATGGCCAGAACAATACGATCTATATAAATAAATCAACATGCCAGATAAAAAAAGGCAACAGTAGTATACCACTGTTCAATAGTCATAAATCGATTTAACTGAAACAAATCCGGGTCACAAGCCAAAACCTAGGGAAACACATCAACTATAAGAGGAAAACAACGGAACAACAGAAATCTTCAATTGACCCCTTTTGAGAGTTTTTGCCTTTGAATGTTGATTTTTGCCCTTTTTGCATTATTTTTGCGGATACACTAGAGATAAAAAAAAATTCATTATTACAATTGTTCAGAAAAATAAGATTTATAAATAAGCTTAATGCACGAAATCGTCAATTGACTCTTTACAGGAATAATTGCCCTTGAAAGATGATTTTATCATTTTTGTCCCAGTAAATATAATAGAGAGAAATCGAGAATAGCAAAACTGGTCAGAAAAATAAGTTCTACAAATAAGTCAACATTGCCGAAATCATCAATTAAACCCTTATAGGAGTAATTGCCTTTGAAACATGATTTTTACCCATTATAGAAACCATACAGATAGAAATTGCATAAAGAAAAAAAAATCAGCAAAATAATATCAATAATTATCTCAACCGATCCGGAATCGTCAATTGACCACTCTTTGGAAAATTTGCCCTTGAAAGATGAATGGTGCCAATTTTTTTCTCTCGGAAAACTGTGAATAGCAAAATTGTTCAGTAGAATAAGATCTACAGGTAAGTTAACATGCCATAATCGCCAATTGACCCCTTATAGGTGTTATTGCCATGGTTTTTACCCTTTTATGATTTTTTTTTCAGAAACCTTAATAGATGGAGAGAAACTGTAAATGGAAAAATAATCAGCAAACTAAGTTCTTCAAATAGATCAACGTGGTCGAAATCGTCAATTGACCCCTAAAAAGAGTTATTGTCATTGAAAGACGATATTTTCCCATTTTTTGCAGAAACCATAATAGATAGAGAGAAAATATAAATATCAAAGAGGTTACAATCTACTGTAACACATAAGTCAACATAACCTAAATAGTCAAGTGATTCCTTACAGGAGTTATTGCCTTTAAATCATGTAGAAACTAACATAAATAGAGAGCAAACATGTTTAGTAAAATAAGATCTACAAATAATTCAATATCGTCGAAATCGTCAGTTGACCCTTTATAGAGGAGTGACTGACCTTGCAAGATGATCTATTTTTCTGGTTTTTAAGAAACTTAAAAAGATAGAAAGAAACAGTGACAGCAAATATTTTCAGCACAGTAAGACTTCTTAAAGGATCTATTTCCTCTGAATGATTATTTTTATCCATATTTTTGCATTTTTGTGAGAAAAAAGAACTATAGTATCTAAAAAATTAAAATTAAAGGCATAAAATGTAAAAATAAAAAATGATAAGCAATACAAAATGTCTAGATAACAGTTACAAATAAACAGACATAATTGATTGCAAATAAGGTAAAAATGAATATCAAATGGCATATTTTACAAGGAGACCGACTCAGGCTCGCGGTAGCCTCTTGTATAATCCATACATAATTATGACCTACCTCATTAAAGGTTTTTTAAAGCATAGAATTAGGTAACCTTCCGACAAGAAAACATATTTTAGTGTTCGTCCGTTTAACTCTTAGGAATGTATAAAACGTAGCCACGTCAGATTGGACTGGGGGATGTTAAATCTGATGCCAAATATCTCGATTTTTGCACGGAGAAGAACCAGTGCATTGTAAAGTTTCTAACCTTACCGATGAATACATATTTTAAATTTTCTGTCGAACATCTTGATGTTCCCACTTAGCAGAAACTCCCTAACTGGTTTATATTGTAATGTTTTCTTAGTCTGAATATACATTGTTATTTAATTCAGTCGTCTTTTTTAATATTAAACCAGTAGTTTAGTTTTACTGATGAGTAAACTAAACGCGAGTCTGGCGTACAAATTACATGCCTGGTATCGTTCATGTAGTTTTTTTTTTAAAATATTTTACACTTTCAAAACAGAATATTAAATTTAACTTTGTATAAGCTATAGTTGAACATTTTGACATCATGAAATTAATTGAAATTTTAAAGTCTTGCAAATCGTATCGGTAAGAGTGTAAATTGATTGTGTTTCCTTTTCAAACAGGATTTTTCTGTAGATTTATCAAAAATACATTTGCTATATCATTATTTTCTATGAAAAATACTCCAGATAAAATTAATAAGTCAGTCTACTCTTCAATTATCTGATAGAACGTCTTAATGTTTTGAAAATTTCGTTTTATTTTAATTTTATATTTATTTATTTATTTATTTATTTATTTATTTATTTATTTAATAGTTTCAGTTAACTGTTTAAGTTAAATACAACTTGACTTCTAGTATAATCATTTTGGCAATCGAATTGTTTTTGTATTCTATTAGGTCAACTTTTCCCGAGGGAGTGGCAACATTAGCTCCTCTTTAAGGATGCTTGTGCGCCTGTTTATTTTGATAAAACAATAATATACCTTTGCTCTGATGTAAAATATCCTTTCTCCTACAGTGGATACTAAGGGTACATATAAAATCTATCAGATTAGATGAAGTGATAAGAAGAGTATAGCTCCAATTCGGAAGTTTCGTAAAATACAGTTCATCATCTGTTTCTTTATTCTCTACATGTACGTAGATATCATAACACAACCAGCTCAGATGGTAGATCAAAAACACAGTAGTACATAAAAGGTATAACCATTTGGGTCCACACTGAAATCATATAATAGGATAGTTATGAATGTAATTCAGCTCTAAGTGGCAATATCATCATTAAATGTTTTATATTAACAAAAAGAGGTGTAAGGTCGAATTTTGAGATGCATTTAGGCCAAACACTCGAAGTATTTTTAAATGTGTGCTACTTTTCGAGAATCCATGACAAATTGTTGTGTCGCATCGTTGTCGTCTCATGTATGTATTCCCTCACATCTGTAATTAAATACCATTATTTTCATCTATCTAGTCAATGCGTAAGGCGAACATACTTCAATAGGTTTCTGACATTTTGCATATTTTTCATCTTTCTTTTAGCGGTTTAGGAATATTGCTCTATGTAAATTTGTTGTTCTCGTTAATTTTTACTAGAAATGAGTAACAATCAACATAAACTGTATTTTTAACTTTTTCCATTTTGTATTTTCCAATTTTTGGCTTTTGAAATCTATATTACCTGAGAGAGAATGCATACTTTAGGACGAGGGTAACCAAAACCAAAGTTCTTCAACCGTAACTCACTTTTTAACTCTTCACAAACCATCTGTGCATGTAAACAAATAGTATATAAATATCAAACACATAGTTTTCATATAATTGAGCTGTACATCTATCGATTGCAATGAATACAGCAGTTTTTTTTATAAATATACGTTCTTATGTTATTAGACATGGATTATGGAAGGTATTATCCACTGTTTCCGTTAAAACTTTCTGAAAGGAAACAAACATTAATCATATCAAATTTAATTTTAGGGCTAGTGATAATCTTTAGTCTCATCAGATCATTGACACTATCAAAGTTCAACGTCTGATTTAATCCTTATATTTAATCCTGTATAGCATAATTTTTCCAATAACTCAGTTTAATACTTCTCCAAGAAAAAGTTCAATAGGGCTTAAATTGCAATGATTTGGAGGAAGTTATGTAGTTCATGTACTTTTATTTTCATCTACCTTGTATAGGAGGTCAATTTTCTTAGCTTTAATTTTTTGACAGAGCTTCGTTGTTTTGTTTGATTGGCTATCGAATTCCACACCAGCTTTAGTTAAAATGTATGATTTTATCTTTTTCATGAGTTAGTTAATTCGAATACGCCAAACACGAACACTGTGGAATGACTCCTTGTACATTTCCACGCTACTTCTGTTGAAAAGCTGGTACTGGCTCATTTTCAACCCTCTGTATTTATTTCAGTATGATATTCTTGTACATTCGTACTCATACCCCTAGAAACTAAATCACATCCTGGTTGAAAGTAATTCTTACGACCATCATTTAACTCCTCAAATCTTTTTCCTTTACCAAGTGGACTTTTTTCTAATTTTTGAACCATAAGAACTAGTCCTTTGATGTGATGTATGATTAGTGTCAACTCTGTTCTCATTTAAATAGTTAGGTTCGAACCTTCTTTCCCTTGCTTGTTCTAAATTATTAAAATGCGTTAATCAATTAAATCTTTTCTTCTTTCGATCGTTTCTCTGAATATATCAACCTTTTAGTTTTGAATCCTATTCGATACCGGTATAAGGTTTTCCATAGTACGTACTGTGACAAAGTAATATCATTATCCATTACCAAAAGATTGTTTTGTCATGTAACACATTCTTTTTTCCGAAAAAAGTTATGCCAATGTATTTATTTAATTTTTCAAACTGGTCAATCGTATTTTTCACTTTTAGAATTAATATAATTTGTCATTTGCGTTTTATACTTCTGTATGGTATTCCGGTTCATCTTTACTCATACCATTTGAAACTAAATCACATCCTGGTTAAAAATCCTTTTCAACAAACATATAGATACTGAATCTTTTTCTTAAATTTACTCTGGGGAAACAACAATTAACAATTTCGAAAAAAGATCTTTTTCAATCAGTAAGGTTCCACTAGATTGAAAATATAGTATTAGTGCAGATTTTTACATGACCGAAATTTAGTAAAAGTCTTTCAATATCTGATATTAACACTACTCGTACTAGATTGTGACTTTAATAGAATCTGAAGTTCTTTACTACTATCTTTTACTTCAATTTTCATGCTTTGTTGCTATGCTTTATTGCGTATGAGGAATGCATATTAAGTTTATTCTGTCAATATTTCTTTGTAAAAACTTTGCAGAGTCTCATTGTTTTGTTGTGAAAGTCGCCGTAGCCATGCAAAATATGAAAAGCTTGTTTGCTCTTTTACAGACGCAATAACGTAAAAACAAATATTGTGATCATGACTATATTTCCACCATTAGGCCACACCAATTTGATTAATAGTTCTTTGGATTTTCCCGCTCCTGTTTTGGAGAAATTGACTTTTCAATAAAAAAAAATAATTACCGCTTCCGCCAATTTTTGGGCCGCATGCCGCTCCAAAATTAGTTTATCCTTGACATTTTTTTTTCTCTTAGACGTTTTTCTCGTGCATATATTGCTCCGAGCGATTCAAACGCACGTGTGATAAATCGATTTGTAAATAAAAGGTCAAAAATCGGGATGCCAACATGAAGTTGTGTCAGATCATTGCCGAGGACACGTAGTTATTAAACACACAGTTATTTGAAATGCATTTCGTTTTACCTGTTCTAGGAGACAAAAATAAAAAAATCTTTCGTTAGATGACCACGATCACATCAGTACTTGTTAGAACCATTGTCATCCCCGATCATTGTTTCAACAGACATAGTCCGAGATTACTCCGACGTCCAACAGCTGTTTGCCAGACAAGATGGGGGGCTGTTGTCTCACGGCCCGAGCTTGACTGGCAAAACAGCCGTTGGACGTCAGAGTAATCTCGGACTACAACAGACATAGGTATCTAGATCTATCTGTCTTGAATGAAATTAATATTAAATTCACATGAATTTTTGAAAAATGACAGATTTATCTTATTTTAATGAAAACTCCATATCTCCTTGTTAGTCTATTGACATGCAATCAGAACTCTTTTGTAAGGGAAAATTTAAGAGTTCCAACATTCTAGACCAAAGTGGTGGTATTGGGATTGGCCTGCTGATAATAATTAGGTATGTGTTATTGGTGCAACCACTTCCAGTTTGAAATACATTAATTGCAGGTTTCAGGGGCAAAAGGAATCAAAGTACTGAAGTACTGAACATCGGATGACCACAAGTTCTTGATGATGGTCAAAAGCACTTGTCTCAGAAAAAAACAACATATCTCTTTACCTGAAACTGAGGTTAATGTACAGAGATATATTTTTTTCTGAGACAAGTTCGTGCGTGGATGATGAATAAATGACAGGAAATTCAACTTCACCGTAATAACTATTATATTGTAGTGATACAAATCAGTATACATGGTGGACACTTTTCTGTAAAAATTCGATTTTTCTAAGATTGGATACGAGTAGGCATTCATATTTTCCCGCAAAAACAATTACAGAGTTACCGGTCCTCGCAAAAAGTTCTCTGAGATATTCTTCCGCATGCTTTAACACAATTTTTCGGTACGTCTGCATTGATATTATCAATGATTTTTTACTTATATATATATATCTAACTACAAAACATTTTCATATTATTAATTTATGTTGTAAACAAAAATATTTTTATCAGTATTCATTGAAGAGATGTATTTATATCAAACGATAAGGAATGTTATTTTGCATTAGTTTATGTGCGCATATTTATCATGTTTATAGATCGGTTACAAACCCAAAACTAATTTACATAATGGAAATCTAGGCGATAGCAATACATCTGAATGACCCCAAGGTCATCTCGATGTAAAAAGTATTTTGCTAAGTCAGAATAATGCATGTGAATGTGGTTAAATGTATTTTAAGGGAATAGATATAGGAAGATGTGGTATGAGTGCCAATGAGACAACTCTCCATCCAAGTAACAATTTATAAAAGTAAACCATTATAGGTCAAGGTACGGCCTTCAACACGGAGCCTTGGCTCACACCGAACAGCAAGCTATAAAGGGCCCCAAAAATTACTAGTGTAAAACCATTCAAACGGGAAAACCAGCGGTCTTATCTATATAAAAACGAGAAACGAGAAACACGTATGAACTACATAAACAGACGACAACTACTGTACATCAGATTCCTGACTTAGGACAGGTGCAAACATTTGCAGCGGGATTAAATGTTTTAATACATTGAGATCTGCATGCATAGCAATATAATTATCTTACTCAGGATGTTGTTGAATTATTCACCTCACTCATTATGTTGATCCTATTATTGATAAATAGTTCCAACTGGATGTCAAGCAGCCTATAAACAATCATTACCATATAATGAAAACAACTATATCAAAAGATATTTATTATTATTCATGGGCATTTTTTGGGAATACATACACATATTTTAATTGTATTCAACACATTTCATTTACCTAACTAACATAATTCCTCTTGCTAAACTGCATCTGATATGCTTCCTTAATATATACACATTTGGAGTTTAGTATGGCGTTTATTATCACTGAACTAGTATATATATTTGTTTAGGGACCAGCTGAAGGACGCCTCCGGGTGCGGGAATTTCTCGCTGCTTTGAAGACCTGTTGGTGACCTTCTGCTGTTGTCTGTTCTATGGTCGGGTTGTTGTCTCTTTGACACATTCCCCATTTCCATTCTCAATTTTATTTTTACATGTATGAATTTAAATGAAAATTCACGCAGTCAAAGCTTATTTGACGAAAATAATCAAAATTATACTAAACCAAAGCGAACCAAAAAGTTGGGTATGGTACAGGCTGTACTACAGGCACAAATACATCAACTTAAATTATATGCATAAGAGCATGTTTATCCTCCTTTTTCTTTGCAGTAACCCAGTTTCAACATGTACAAATATTCTAAATCGCACAATTTAAAAAAAAATATATACCGCTCGCTCCACTCGTAGAGCACCCGCCTCAACAAAACTCATTTTCAAGAAGTCAATACAATCAAAAAAATTTCGCTCGCTCGCCCCATATTTTTTGGAGCTTTTGTCCGAAAAACTAAAAATCAAATTGGTGTGGCCTTAAGTTAGAGCTTGACATATTGTATAGACAACTATCTGTTGCTTATGATTCTGTATGTAGACCTCTTGAAGTTTTTTAGTATTTGTTTGGCTGCTGTCTCATTGACCGATACCCCTTCATTTTAATCATATTCAAAGCAGATTTATGTTCTTTTGTTTTGATTGGCAGGTCGTTCCGCTATTTATGCTTACTCCATAACATAAAAACTTTGTATTACTTTTTTAATAATTATATCATTTGTTGACATACATACATGCGCTGATTTGTTATTGTCTTTTCGTTATTTGTGTCGCTGAGTTGATGTCTTATTGGCATTTACCCCACATATCCTTTTATCCGTAGCAAATGAATAAGTTGATTTGAAAAATAGATTTATAATAAACATTTTTTGAAGAATTGTGTAAGTCAATTGGACTTAAACATTATTCATCCACAAATCCAAAACGTTTGTAGTTGTTTTTCTTGTTGAATCACTGCTTCGAATTGGTGAAATTTATTTGTATTCACAAAAATTGAATGCGATTGTGTTCTTGACATATAATCACCCCAAACGGTGAATGAAAGAAATAAGTTAACACTAAATATTTAGTTAAACCTTCTGTAGTGACCAACTTACCGAAGTTGAACGGATATTCGGACACAAATTAAACATTTTTATCTAATTTTACTTTTAAAATAATGTCATGATTATAACAGAAAAACTATATGACTGAGTTACCTACCTTAATGTAATGTTATATGTATTCGTTGTCTTCAACTTAAAGATGCAAGAATATTGTGTAAAATATTCTGCATCATTTCATTGTCGTAACAGCATGAGTCAGCTTACGTATTTACTTTATATTTACCAATAATGGGTCTATTGTCGATAAAGTTATTAAAATTACATATTACTTAAATAACCTTATACTGCTGACTTTTATGCTCCATATGTGATTGAGAAATTTAAAGATTTCATCGTGAGATTATAAGCCTTCTTAACATTATTGATCATATAACATATTTTCGATAAAAGAATGTACTACATATAAAAATAAGGAGATGTGGTACGATTGTCAATGAGACAATTATCAACCAAATTTCAAATGAAGTGGATGTAAAGAATTATAGGAAACCGTACAGCATTCGTCAATGAGAAAAATCAATACCGTATAGTCGGCTTTAAAAGGCCCCGACATGAAAAAATACGAAACAATTTAATTGAAAAAACTAACAGCCTAATCAATACAAAACAATTTACGAAAAAACAAATATGACACATGAACCAACGACGACCACTGAACTACAGGCTCCTGACTTGGGACGGGCACATATAGAATGTGGCGGGGTTAAACTAGTTTGCTGGTACCAAACTCTCCACCTACCCTGGGACAGTGGTGTAACAGTTCAACAAAAGAACAAACTATAAAAATCAGTTGAAAAGGCCTTAACTCATCAGATTGATACAAGGCAGAAAACATCTAACGAAAACATAGACCGGACGTGGCAGTGTATCTATACATCACACAACAAAAAAGACACAAAGTAAAGATCTGAGAGTACTCGCAAATACTGACAGCTAGTTCAAAGCCAATAATAACTAATAAAAAAATAATGTATCTAAAACTAAAGTATCAATCAGTACACATCCAACATCCAATGGATTTAGTAAAAGACGTCATTAAAAGTCGGAGAAAAACATGACCTTGTGCAATGCCAATATATATGTATCGACAGATTGTAGTACCGTGAATGTGCATATGTGTATAACAATAGTATTTAGTATGGTTTTAATTTATTGATAACAAAATCAATGTTTATACCAATAAAAACAATGGCTTAAACATGCTTGGAAACTTGACTGCTGCCAAAATTAAAGTCAATCAGACGTCTCTAATTGAAATTAAAAGACTTAAAAAGGAGGCATCCTTTGTAGCCAAGATACTACTTACATTAGTACATAATTTTAAAGTTCAGCATCTTGATCATCAATTCTCTCCTCCCGCATGTATATTGCCTGCAGAAAGACTTATAGTTACACATCTCACCCTACAGGCTTTGTAAAGACTGCTTTTGTCTACGGATGACAATCAAAATATTCTTAACAGCATGCGTTGTGCCCGCATTGATAAAAATTTAAAGAATGCAAAAAGAGGAGGAGGCAGCTATTTGTACATACATTCTTCAACACAGACGAGTTCAAGATGTAGACATTAAATATCAGTACGTTGGCATTTCTCCAAAGGCAGATGTAGATGTAAGACTGGTCTTCATTTTATTATACAATAAACCAAGGACTCCAGCATTAAAATTTCTACAGAATTTAGAGAGACTGATTCATGCTGTACCTGATGGATGTCCATGTATTATTTCTGGTGATTTCAACATCGGTTTGCTCAAGAAAAACAAATACACAGACAATTTAAAGTTTTTTATGCAATATTATAGCTTCCGACAAATTATAATATCACCTACACACAGCTTTGGTAGACTCCTCTATCACTTTTACATCAACATTTCTACTGAAGAAATTATCCAGAGTCCTGTTCCAGTGTATTAAAGTGATCATTTTTTATGTTAGTGGCTGCAAGTCTAATGACACGTGGCAGGTCAGAACATCCTTAATGTATTTAATTTGTCATGTCTGTTTGTGTTAGTTTGCTTGTAAATCAACGAAGGACCCAACACAGCATAGCTGTTTCTATTTATCATATCAACATATAATATTTTAAAAAAACATACGGACAATTAGAGCTTCCAAAAAACTAGCCGTAAAAGTGTAAAACATATCACAACAGTATCTAAAGAAACAGATAATCAAATTCTTCCCATTTTGCATATCAACATTGATATATATATATATATATATATATATATATATATTGTATCAGGATGCTTGATTTCTGGATTGACAACATATTTGTTACGTTGGTGTTCCTCATCTTGCCGACTTGTGCCTTTATTCGTATGAGGCTGACTTTATACAGGAGCTTCTAGGAAGAATGAAAAGAAGCTAACATTATCCTTTAACTTCACTTTCCGCTAAATAGACATATCCTCTCACTAAATAGATCAAAGTTTGGTGACTACTAGTATGTTGCACATATCTATCCCATCGAACTAGAAATAAAAGATACAGCAGATACAGTTAGGTCTGCCTCATATCTTGATTTACATCTAGAAATTGACAATGATGATCGGTTGAGAACAAAACTTTACGACAAAAGATATGATTTCAGCTTTCCAATTGTGAACTTTCCATTTCTATGTAGCAATATTCCAGCAGCACCTACATATGGAGAATATATCTCCCAGTAGATACAATATTTCAGGGCTTGCATTTCCTATCATGATTTCCTTGATAGAGGGTTGCTGTTTACAAGGAAGCTATTGTACCAAGATTTCCAAGTTGAAATCATCCCTTTGAGCATTTTACTGACACCATCACGAGTTGGTTGACCGTTATGGATTATCGGTTTCACAGATGACAACGGAACAACGGATATGTTCCGAATGATGTAACCACAATCCCGTCCTCTTTTCTCCAAATGTGATCTAATAAGACTTATGACCGGGTTTGTACTTACATGAGCAGGATTTGCTTACCCTTCCTGAGGACTTGAGATCATTTATGTTGCCCAGTCTTGTTTTCTATGGTTTTTATTTAATGCACTGTTGTTTGTCTTCCTGTAGTTTTCAGTTTTTTTATTTTTGTCATAGCATTGTCAGTTTGTTTTCGACTTATGAGTTTGGATATCCCTTTTGTATCCTTCGGCTCTCTTTTGCAACCAAAAATAGAACTTCTTTTTAGGAATAATAAAGCACTTTACAGAGGCTACTTTACGTTATTTGTATGATATTTTACCTTGAAATTTTCTTGAGGAAAAAAGTCCACCAATTTTAAACACAGATGTGGATTAAAAAATGAGACATAAGAAGTATAGTCCATTCTTATTATACTGTCGTAATTTAAAATGAGTTAGTTAAAACCTGATGGATGCATTAATTTTTGTGAATTTACTGTATACAAACCCCAGACATTGTTCCTGAGTCAGTATAATTCTGTCAGATTGACCTATCAGTAACCATGTGTCAACATAACAAAGATGCAATACTTATATATAAAATGAATGACATGAACCCAAAATTTCAATGTCTCAAAGCTGAATTTCACACCAGCAACTAAAATGTTTGTACGGGAGGTATTAGTCCTGCTTTACGGAAAACTCTAGTTGCACCTTCAAATGTATATTGTCCCTAGGATACAATAAGACTAATATCACGTGGACAATGCAGAAGTTTAGGGGCAAATCCTTTTTTCTTGTGATTTTAACGTCATAATATTTTTTTATTATGTTTTTGATTAAAACATTGATTTTAAAATACCTTTAATGTCAACCACAAGGGTTTCGTTAACCTTACGTTTTCCTATTAATTGGACATTTTGGACCAGGATAATATTTAAAAACGGTCTCCTCTTTCCAATGAAATCCACACCAAATCAAAAATATTAAAGATAAATGCACAGGTGGCAACGGTGCACCCTGTCGAATAGATACAGGTTCATTCGAAGATAAATTAAGGAAGGCAGGTAGATGTGATTTAAAACAAAAACAAATCTCAGTGATACGACCGGAAGAAAGTCCTAACCTTTTATCGCATATGCAGCAATTTGTAGACAAGTCATTAAAAAACACAAAACCATGCTGCTGCACTGACTCCATTCATTCAAATTTATGCCGATATTTTTTTTGAACTGGATGAGGTACTCGGACAAACTACCATATTTTAGAAATCTAGTATTATCGATAGGTGAGAGGAGACGCGATAAAACAAGGACGACAGCGACTGCCCATACTTGCGGAGATAGATATCACATTATACAGCACAGTAACTCTGGGCGGCGCCAACTGTGCAGGCGAAAAAGAATGATCCAACCCAAGCGCTTTTGCGATGACTACAAAAAACTGAACGATATTACGCGCAAGGATGATTATCCTATTTCTTGTATCTCTCAAGCGGTCGCCGAATATTTCTCTACAATGGAAATTACCAGCTGGTATTGTTAAATGAAGATAACTGAAAAAATAAGATCACATTTGCCACTCACAAAGGGCTCTTCCAGTTTAATTGTATGTCATTTGGACATGTTACAGTCCTGCAAGCTTTAAACGTCTTATGGAAAATGCAGTGAGAGAGATGACTTGTGTATCATGATGATGATATTGTCTTTGGGAAATGTTTTAATAAAACACTACAAAACTTAACTACTGTTTTCCAACGACTCAAAACAGCAAACCTCAAAATCAAACCAAAGAAATATGCAGTTCAGAAGAAGAAATGTCCTGTTTTGGACATGTAGTCTCAGATGAAGGGGTAAAGTTGAATTATTTTATAGAATGAAATGTTCACATAAATGAGCCATTGAAAGTATTGAACAACAGAGCAGTTTTATCTTTGATAATTACTGAAATTTAGTGCAGTGATAAGATATTTTAAATTCACACAAGCATTCTTCAATTATTTGTTATTTTATAAAATGTTTAAATGACAGGTTCTGTACACATGTGCCAGCACTACAATCACAGTTGGTGAAAACCGTTCATGACCCATTCAACTCTGTCAATAATTTTTATGATAAAACACTTAAAGTGCGAAACAACATGCATGGGGTTTTGTAAAAAAGCATACACATCAATATCTTCTTTTTCACGTGTTCCCAAAATATTTATAAAAAAAAACATTAAATCGATTAGGTTTGCCTTACATCTTTTGGCTTATTAATGGCCATTGTTATATTATAGTTCGTTTCTGTGTGTGTTACATTT